GTACGGTGTCGAATAATTTGGTGTCGAATAAATCTGTGTCGAATCGAGCGGTGTCGAATCGTACTGTGGTCAATAGAGTATCACCCCATCTCTCGCTACTCGGTAGCAGACCCGGCCCGCCGACCGCGTGCACGTAGTGCCGCAACCCTATGCATCCGCGCACCACGTCACCGACGCCGTCACGCGTAATCGCGCTCCCGTAGCCGGAAAACCCTTTGTTGTATATATTCGCGGCCTTTCCTGCTTAGTATGTAAGATTCCGTTCCGTCACCGCGTCGGCCGAGACCGACACACGATAGCTCGCGCGCGCCAATCACAAGCCGCAAACCGCCAGACTGTAAGGGCTTTGTGCCCCGCGTCGTTTCGACATTGTATATAGTCAAAAGCATTTCAAGAATATAGAATCATTGTATTACAGCAGTAAACGAACGTGTCGCAATCTCTTCCTTCCCCTCACCCGAATCCTGGTCTGGCCGAGCTGTCCGGCTGGCGGAAGGCCGGGCAAGCCGCGCGTTCCACGGCGGCTCCGTTACAACTTAATTGCTGAAATATCGATCACTGCTCATTCCAAGCTTCTACTAGCTGTAATCTATAGGCCTCCACATTGTGGATATCTGGCTAACTTTTTTGACATTTTTTTAGACTTGATGGTGCTCTATAATCACTGCATCATTTTCGGAGACTTTAATGCTGATATGCACTCGAACACCTTTGACTCGGATCAGATTCGCTCCTACATAGGAGAGTATAACTTATATCTAATACCGTACGATTCCACTCATCATACTCCAACTTTCTCGACGTTTCTTGATTTATGTTTTATTGATGATGCGGACAAACTCGTATTGTTTAGTCAATCCGATGTATGTTTTTTGTCTTCGCATGACCTAATTAACATCGAGTATAATATCATTGTTGAGCGCACACAAAGAAGAACGATCACTATTAGAGATTTAAGTTCTTTTGATTCTAATAATTACTTGCGAGATTTAGGAAACTGTGACTGGAGCACTTACAGAATAACAACGACATTGATTTAAAAATTGAACTGTCTAATAAGTATTTGTTGTCCTGCTTTACCAAGAATGCGCCATGGAAAACGATTCATCCTAGACACTTGCCTGCTCCTTGGCTAACTGCTGATATCAAGACTCAAATGGTGGAAAGGAACAAGGCTTGTAGGAAGTGGAGAAGGCACAGGTGTGAAGCAAACTATGCTGCGTACCAGATTTTAAGAAATCAAGTGCAGAGTACTGTTCGTAAAGCAAAGGAGGAACACTACCACTCTATTTTTTTGAAACTCAAGGCTCCTAACACAATCTGGAAGGAACTTCGTAAACTTGGTCTTGTCGGGGCCAGGACGTCTGAGCTTGTGCTCCCTTGTACTGTCGGCGAGCTCAATGGATACTTCTCCATGCGTGGATCCACGACCGCTGTTGAGGATACAACTGAGCCAATTTTCCTCGGCAAACCTGTCTTTGACAGTTCAAAATTTTACTTGAGCAACGTGGATGTTCTTGACGTCATTAACGCTCTTGCTAAAAATAATTCTGACGCCGTTGGTAAAGATGGTTTGTCCTTGAGATCGATCACTTTAGCGCTACCTTGTGTTCTTCCAATTTTAACACATATTTTCAACTTTAGCCTGAGCCATGGCTCCTTCCCCTCTATTTGGAAGTCAGCGATCATCTGTCTTATTCCGAAGGTCAAACATCCTCACAAGTTGCAACATTTCCGACCAATCTCAATTCTATGTGCCATTTCTAAAGCACTTGAGAGCATTGTTGAAAAGCAGATGGTGGCTTATCTTGAGGGGACCGACAACTTGAACCAATTTCAAAATGTCTACAGAAAGGGCTTCTCCACACAAACGGCTTTGATCCAGGTTATGGATGACATCCGACTTGCGGCTGATCGTAGAGAAGACACAATATCAGTCTTCTTTGATTTTTCTAAAGCAATCGACAAAGTGAATCACCGTATACTTATTAGTAAGCTGCGAAATAAGAATTTCTCCTGCTCGATTCTAAGATGGCTCTTTTATCTTGATTCGCGAACGCAATCCGTTCGTGATCCCTCTACTTTCTCGGTTTCTGAAGAATTACTCGTGACTGTTGGTGTTCCTCAGGGATCAGTACTTGGACCCCTGTTTGTTCTGTTTGTGTCAGACTTCAGCAACACATTAAAATATTGTAAATACAGTTACTATGCCCACGACCTTATATACTTGCACTGCCTTCCTTCTTCTCTGAACAACGCCATTAAGAATATTAATGAAGATATTTCTAGTATAGGAAACTGGGTCTCTACCAACCAACTTTCTCTAAACGCTAAAAAGACCTCTGCGATGATTCTAGGTTCTTCTAGATATGTAAATTCTATTGACTTTGTTAATTTGTCTAGCTTGATAGTTGACAACAACTCTGTTCCTTTCAAGGACTCCGTTGAATACTAGGGAGTTACCATTTCTAAAAATTGTCATAGGAGAAACATGTCGCTAAAACTATCTCAAGGGTTAACACATCTCTCTATAGTCTCAAAATCAACAGACAGCTCTTACCTCAGTTTCTACGCATCAGACTTGTGTCCTGTCTCATCTGTCCTATTCTTATTAGACTACTGTTGCTCTGGTTTCTCAGATTCTAGACTGCTGAGGGTGACACTCTATTGACCACAGTACGATTCGACACCGCTCGATTCGACACAGATTTATTCGACACCAAATTATTCGACACCGTACGATTCGAC